CTTGATGCTGTTTTAAATAACAATCATAAGACGATCAAAGTGACAATAATACTGATAAAGTGGTAAGTCCGATGGATGCCAAGTTGGAAAGATTGCTGCATTCGTGTTGAAGCGCTTGCTTTGAGTAATATTTTGCTCTGGAAGTAAAAAACTTCAGAAAGTTTAAATTTGTCAAAATATTCAGTTAAATACTTATGATTTCTTAATTTACTTACATTCTTAGGTATTATTGCTGCCTAATGATTGTACTTACTCTATTGTGCACACTTATTAACCAGGTTTTCACCTAAATCCTCTTAAATTTACTTTTCAACAATTTCCTCGTGTTTCAAAATACAAAACCTTAAAAATTCAATTTCGCATCTTTCTGAAAACCAAACAATTGTTTCGCAGATCAATTCAAATTCCAAATAGTCGTTAAAATAAGAAAAGTAATGCCAGACAAAACTACAAACAATGCACTTCATCTCTCAACTATCACAGCTTCTCGGTCATAAAAAAATCAGCTTGCAGAAGATTCTCATCAATGAAATTACTAAAGACACAATTTTTACAGCGGAATAAGAAGACTTTTAACTTCACACTTCGGGTAAAATAAACTTACTACAAAAAGCCAGCAAGGACGTTATTGTTTGCTTTCTTAAGAAGCTTTAACGATATACAAACAACGGCAGCAACAAGCTACAAAGATTCTCTTTTTCTTCATGTTTATAGGAAAATAAGCATCTCTACTGAACCGGAAATATTATTTTATTTATTTCTTGTCTTCATTCATGTTCAAAAAATTTTTCCTCGACTTTATTTTTAATTCTCGTCTTTAATTTTAGCAATGTTTTGTGAAAAATAAGAAAGAACGACATTTGATAGAAAAGAAGAAAGGAAATATTTTCGTGATACGTGAGTGTCGTATGAGTCAGAGTAATTTTTCGCACGTCGTGTTGTTCGAGATTTTTGTATTTTTTTCTTACTTTGTTATTTTTATTTGAATGAATCGTGAGTTGGGAAGTTTTATAGGGTTTATTGAGGATATGAAGCTTATTTTAAGTGAGTTGCTGCTAAATTGCCCTAAAGGGGATCAAATTATGTTGATTAATCAAGGATGGGATGTTGATTAGGTCTTGGGATAGTTCAAGGGGCGGTTTCCAGGGTTTCCGGAGTTCTCAACAATGGTCATAGTTTTTTTTGATTTATATCCCAAAGAGAGGAGGTCAATTGGCTCTGATTTTAAGGAAGGATACGAAGGGGAATCTTAGAGACTGGTCCTTAAAGTGCAGCTTTAATTTCTCGATTCGGAAACACTAAGGCTAACCCAATTGATAGCTGATTGGACCTCAAGGTTACCTTTGAGTTACGAAAACTCTTTATCATGTCCCTGTCTTGCTGCTACACTTAGAATACTCAGTTTTATGGCCATACGTAAATAGAACTTGATACTTCAAGCAACACGTTGTTCGAATCTTCAAATTAGTTTAAAAACATTAAGCCACAGAGTCGTTATGAACCATCTCAATGTCTTACTGTCAATATGGCTGCACAAAAGTACCCTAGCGGATATGTTGTGCAACTCAGATACAGCCCTAACCTCAAGTATCACATCTAATATCTAAAATTCTCATAAACATCATAACTTCTACTCAAAATAACCACAAAAGAAGACAAACTACCTCTAAACCTTAATAATATGCAGTATAAAAATTCCTATATTATCCTAAAAAAATGTGAATCAACAACAAGCATAACAATGTACATATAGCAACGAAAGACTATAAATACACTCAATAGAAAGAAAATATTTAGATGCTGAAATTAACGGCACCCCTCGTGGTCTCACGCGCAAGAGCTCATTAAATCACTTCTGCCTCGTCTTTTATAAGCCTTTTCGATTATAATAGAATGTGAAAGAGGAATATCTGTTGAGCATTATTTTCACACAAAACAACATAAATACTGGCTATTTATGACGATCATCAAAAGGCGTATATGATAATTTTAGAGACTTGAAGTGACACTAAATAAAAATATTAGCTGTTTTTTTTTCTTCTATGTTTAAAACCAGTTCTGTAACATTAACTGATGATATTTCATTATCACCCGATGGCTGTAGTGAAGCTGGGGTTGATCGTAAGTGATGTCAATCAAATGTTGACTTCTGGGACCAAAAAAATCATTGTTTTTAATTAATCAATAGCTACAGACTCCCCTGTACTTCTGAGAGTCTGTATTGAAAAATTTAAGGGGGGGGGGGGGGGTATTTTTGTGATTTTTTCATAAAAACTCTAGCAAAAGAAAGAAGTTTCTGTATACGTTGGGGGATTTGTCCCCCAAATCCCCCCTGGCTACGCTCCTGGTCTTCATCAAAGCTAGACGTAACTCACGAACGACCCCCAATCCGTCTATTATCTTCATGAACACACAACAAATGCCTGTATACATATAAAGATATATTGTGACTTTAATAATGATCAAATAATTTCAATTAACATTTTCAATGAATGGGCATGGAAGCTAGTTAATCGAAAAAAAAAATTCAGATTTCATTCGAATCTATATGTGCACAAGAGTCAATCCAATCAAGTGGTTAAACAACTTTTTTTCCTCTTATTTTGCGCCGCAATGTCTGTCTTTCTGATCGTCTAGGAAATGATTTGTTTCGTTTTATTTTCAGCATTCATGAATGATGAAGTGACGTTTAATCTCTTTCGCGCTTTTGTATTTGTATTTACATTATGCTCCTTCTCTCTCAGATTGGCATTTTTAGCGCATTTTTTTTTTGCAGAGACAATTTTTTTGTCTTCTCTCGAATGTGTGTGATTGATTTATATGGGTGGATGGCAATTTGTCTGACTGAATGAATTATTTTGTGTTTTAGGAATTTATGGCTGACTTGTAAAGGTTGAGGATGGTAGAAAAACAATAGATTTGAGATGATCAAGCTTCATTTGATTTTGAACAAAAATTCAAATTTAAACGGTCATGATAAATTCAAATTTTAACGGCTAATAAAAATTCAAGTTTTAATAGTAAAAATTCAAATTTTAACGAATAAGAAAAAATTTAAATTTAACGGTTATTGAAAATTCAAATTTTAACGAATTTTTAAAAATGCTTCACAAACTCATACCCAACCCAACAATACTAACTTGCTGTCCATTTTTTTTCGAATAGTACGACAGTCAATTTGTTGTATACAGTTATTATAGAATTGAATGATTTGTTTGTTCGACTGCAATTTCAATTCACTATGCTAATTTCAAAATCGTGCCAAATAAACGAGAAATTTCTGCTGTCTTTACCTATCCCAAGTCAGTACACATGTGCATGCATTTTATTATGCTTAGCATTCTGATTTCGAATTTGACAGATTAGGAATGTGCTGATAACACCTTGTCTGCATGAATGAAATATAAATGTACATTTTGTGACAGCGTAGAGACACCGAGACCACCAAAACATTGTCGATCGAGAGGCAGAGAGAGAATAAATGTACATTCACATGCTGCGATAATTAACATATTTTTGTAGCCACATGACACTCAACAGATTATATTTGCTTGCCTCTCGACAACTTTACGATTTTAATTCGTAATTTGACTTACAGGCCATAATGTAGCCAGAGAATGATATTGGATAGAGAAATAAATGTCCGCACGCTCATAGCTGCATATTAATAATTTCAAGTTAATGATTATCTGTTTCATTTTCATTAATTTCTTACTTATTTTCTCCCTCTCGATATGCCACTTGCGTAAGGCATTTAAACTCTCACTTACTTACTCAAATAAAAGTACTTTAAGTTTCTCAAGTTGCACATTGTTACTTACAATGTACCATTTTTCGAGATATATATTTAATTTATCACTTGTTTACAAACATTGAGTGCTTTTAAAGAGTTAAGTTGTTAAGATGATTACTTTGTGAAGTGATGCTGCTTTTATATTAAAGCTGCTTGATGCTTTTTGTTGTTCCTTATCGACAAATTTTGGTACAAGAAGGCCTTCGAAGGTCTATGGATACTATAAGTATTGCTACCAATGCGTCTCTAGTGTGTCTCTAGTGTATCTTTAAGGTGTCTCTGATGAGTCTCTTATGTGTCTTTAATGTGTCTCTGGTGTGACACTGATGTGTCTCTAGTGTGTCGCTAATGTGACTCTTATGTGTTGTTAGAGTTCTACAAATGCATCTCTAGTGTGTCTCTAGTGTGTTTCTGATGTGTCCCTAGATTGTTGCTAATATGTCTCTGATGTGTCTCTAGTGTGTCGCTAATGTGTCTCTAGTGTGTCTTCAATGTGTCTCTAGTATGTCTCTGATGTTTCTTTAATGTGTCTCTAGTGTGTCTCTGATGTTTCTTTAATGTATCTCTAGTGTGTCTCTAGTGTGTCTTTAATGTGTTTCTAGTGTGTCTCTAGAGTGTCGGTAATGTTTCACTTTTGATTCGCAAACCATCCGAAAACTAATCCAATCTCTCCACAAGGGACAATCGACTGCATATAAGTAAATATAATGTGTGTATAAACAAAAATTTTAAAATGATTGTCGTGCATTCGTCTCACAAATTCAAATGAGATGCCTGTCAAGCTGTGAATAAAATTGATGACAAGTCAACGAGAAGAGCAAGCAGAAAATTAAATAAAAATATATTTTGAAACGGAAATGAATGAAAATTGAATTGAATGTCATTTGCAATATTTAAATACACATTTCATTTGTCTTGATTTGCCTGTGCATAAGAATTTCTCTTGTACGCGCAGTCATGATTGTATTTAATTGCTTTATCTGTCTTATAAATCTCGTGTGAGAGACGTAAATTAACGAGATGAATGCACCATTAAGAAAAATCTCTTTGAAATCCTTTCTATTACAATTCAGAGGTAGGGATGTAGTCAGGAGAGGTCACCAACACCTTCTTCTTCTATCTCTTCCTGGCTACACCCCTGATCAGACGAAAAGAAATGCACGCAAAAAATAAGAAAATTTTTTAATTTCCGTACCTTAATTTACAGATCATCACGAAACAGAATCAGAAACAAACGAAGAAGTTGAATTGAAATTTTTAAATGATAAAACGAAAAATGCTCATTTGGTGCACAGAGTGAAACGAAGTATTCATAACCATCAACATTTATCACCGTACCAGCAGCAATTGCAGAGACATCGTCAGCGGCAGCAGCAATATGAGCAATATCAAAGAGAATTACGCGAACGAGAAATGCGCGAGAGGCAACGAACAAGAACAAATACGAATTATAATCGAGATGCTCGACAATATCAGGCCATGATGCAGCAACAACCACAACAGCAGCAGCAGTTTAATAATAACATGTATCATTATCAGCATCATTATCAAAATAGTATGCATCATGTGCAGCAAAAGAATTCGGATGAGAATAAGGAATATACCATAGAAGTATTAGTAGCTGTAGATAAGAAAATGCAAGAGTACCATGGCAAGAATCTTAAGAATTATGTGCTGACATTAATGTCAGTGGTATGTATTCATTATTCTTTTTTAAATGCTTTTTCGAACATCTCATGTGGCTCTATGTCCACTTTAATAATTTACAATCTAATTTTAACGGTTTTGCTAATTTTTCATTCCGCATCCAAATCTCGAATTATGTCAGTTATCGTTGTCATGTTTACCTTAATTATTTCAATTAGCACGTAAACCTATTTACTGAACTTGTTATTTGTTGAGAAGGGTTCTTATCAGTAGACTGGCTGGGTGTCTGCTATATGATGTCTAAAGTGGTCTAGTTTCTGTAGATCAAAATTTTCTGGTCATTCAAAATTTGAAGTCATTTTCGATTTTCAAATTTTTTACTTTCGAAATTGAAATTTTGACTTTCGAAATTGAACTTTCTGACTTTCGAAATAAAATTTTTGATCTCGACTTTTCTAGATTTTGAATTTTCAAATATAAACGTTCGAAATTAAAATCTTTAACTTTCAAAACTAGAATTTTTTACTTTCGAAATTCAAATTTTAACTTTCGAAATTAAAATTTTAACTTTCGAAGTCAGAATTTTTATTTTTCGAAATTAAAGTTTTTAACTTTCGAAATTAATTTTTTCAACTTTCGAAATTAGAGTTTTAACTTTCGAAATTCAATTTTAACTTTCGAAAATAAAGTTTTTAACTTTCGAAGTTCAAATTTTTAACATTCGAATTTCAAATTTTCAAAATTCGAACTTTTCAGTTATAAGATTTAAACTCCTCACTTTCAAATTTTAAATTTAAATTTTCGCTTTTATATTTCATAAACTGATTGATGATCTAAATGCGCTTACCACATCTATTTACCCAACGGATCAACAGTCTAAGTCCCCTTAATATCTCCAATATTTATCATCTTACAAGAAGAAAATTCTATTTGACTACTTTCTGATAATTCTCTTATAAGCTAATTGCAAAACGAATTGAAAGATAGATTTAAAGTCATTAAGACCTTTTTTTCTTCTTCATATAAATGTCTCTCTCACCCGTCCGTACATTCATAGACAGATAAATTAATTGAAATGAAATTAATGAAGTTATCTTCAGCAAGAAAACAGAGAAAATAAAAAATACAAGCACCAACAAACAGCGAAGAGATTGCGGATGAACAAGAACAAGATTTGATAATTCTGTGTTTTCTGTCTTTCTCTTCGTTTTCTTAATTCTCTCGATCGCTCCTTTGTCGTCTTCTTCCACTTTGCTTACTTACTTTATTTCTTATTCCTTTCACTCTTTATTTTATTTTTTGGAGTGCATTGATGAGATGGATTCGAGGGGTTTGGTGGAACAGTTTGGGTGACTTGTTGAGGTTACGGGTGGAAGACTAGGGTTGATTTTAGAAATTTGAGGTTAGATGCTACAATTTTAAGGTTAACTTGTGTATTTGAATGGTAAATCATAAAATTTGAGGTTAGGAAAGCTTATTATAGGTTATGAAGGCATATTATAGATTATGAGGGATCATTTAAGGTTAGGTAAACCTATTTGTGGTTAGGCAGGTATTTTAAGGTTAGATAGGATTATTTGAAGCAACGCATGGTCATTTTAGGTTAAGTAAGCTAATTTAAAATCAGGTAGGATCATTTTAGGTTAGCTAAGGTAGTTTAAGACACATTTGACAACTTTTTGAGTTTCACAAACAATTTTGAGGTTATGTCTATAACAAACCATGCGCCCTAATCCTTAACGCAACAACCTCACTAACTTTAACCATTAATTTCATATTATTCTCTCTTTCTTCTTATGTTTACTCACAGGTATCAAGTATTTATGCTGACGCTAGTATTGGAAACTCCATAAAGATTGCCGTAGTGCATATAATGTATATTGAGCAAGATTTAGTTCCAGATGCAAGTTATGTTAACGGTAAGTTTTAAAATGAAAGATTTTTTTTTCTTTCCACTGCTTTTATTTATTTATTCGTTCACTTGCTCTTCTCTTTTGCTTATTGTCTCTTACTTATTTTGAACTTTTAATACCGAAAAAAATTGCAATTCTTTAAAAGTTCCTTTTTTTGAATGCAATTTAATGAATCATAACAAGACTACCTTGCTGTATACACAGCAATTTCTTTTCAATTCAATAAATAATCGAAATTCTTGGCTGTTTTGGGCTTTTTATGGATTGTTCCTAATTAAGTGGAATCAAGTGAATTTTTTTATAGGGTTCTCGGTCGGTTAGATTGAAGATTATTGTGGGTTAAAGCTGACTTTTCTTATTAAATTGACTGAATTTTGTTCAAAAATTGCAACATCTAAAAAAATCTGGAACATTTTATTAAAAAAATTTTAAAGCTAGTTTGAATTTCAAAAATACGTTAAATTTTAAATTAACTATGTTAAAACTCAAACATGCAAAAACTAGAACATCTCGATGTTTTATGCATCTACAGACACAACTTCTTACATTTCCACCACAAAAAATCATTAAGCAACATTCAAGACCTTTAAATTCCACACAAAAAAGTAATCGAATCGAATTGATAACCCTACAACACTGATTATTCCATGCATTTCTGTACGAAAACAACAGAAAAAAGGTCTTTATTTATTTTATTTTCCCATTAAAATCTCATATATGTTCAATTCATTTTATTATAATGATCATGTACAACACAAAGTGAATTAAAAAATGACAGTGAAGCTTGCAACGCAATACAAGAAATAAAGATACGATGAGGATATTAAATTAATATCAAAGAGCATTTCTTAATGCAATTTGTGCATCGTGATGATTTTTATCGCATTACATGCTTGACTTCATTACAGTCATTAAATTTACTTTTTTTTCTTCTTACTTTGCTGCTTTAATTATGTGTCCTTGTGTAATTAAATTTTCGCCTCTTCATTGCATCCATTTTAATCGCATTTTGTGGGGCTTTTGGTTGGGATTGAGATATTAATAGTTTGTTTTTTAAGTTTTGAATTGAAATGAGGATCAATTAAGATAATTTTAATACAATATTTTAAATTTAAAGGGGTGTTAAACTACACAAAAAAGAACATTTGTTGCTAAAGAAGGGTACGAAACTACGCACGCATAATCATATGATGACTTTTGACATTTAAAGGGTACGCAACTACTAAGGAATTTCATTCAATGCAATTTTTGCTCTTGAAGGGTGTAAAACTACGCAGAACTTTCTCTCATTTTAAATTTTTGTCATCAAGTGGTGTAAAACTAGACTGAATCTTATTTTAATTATATTTTAACATTCTAAGGGGTATAAAACTACGGCAAAACATATTTCACAGTACATCTTTACCACAAAAGGGTGCGAAAATAAGCAGTAATTAGCTTAATTGAAATTATTTCGTAACTCAAAGGGTATAAAACTACATCAAAAATAATACAAAGCAATATAAAATGCGTTTACAAACATTATCCATCCAAAAACCTACCAAACTAGCTTCCTCCTCTTACATCTCATTATAATTCTATATCTTTTTAATTTAATTTTTCTTATTTCCTCAAAAGCAGGTGTGGGCGTCTCAGCGTCGAGTATGCTGGTGGAATTCTGCCGATTGAAGCACACTCACGATTATCAGCATGATACGGCATTGCTTTTAACTAGGTGAGAATAATCATAGGTAGCTCCAATCGTGTGACAAGTATTTATCCTCGCTTAGATTTACTACTTCTCGTTTGCATTTTTTATTAATTTTTATATCCAATTCCATATATAAAACTTTTTTATTTTATTTTATTCCTTTAATCTTAATTTTTATCTTCTGTTTATGCGAATTAATGTAGAGGAGGAGAAACTTATATTCTGATTGCTGTCGTTACTTCATGTTCTCATGAATAATTCAAATCCTATATAAAAAAAATCGACAACATAAAATTTTAGGAGATGCGGAATAAAGTTTTATTTTGTTTCATCTTATTGCCTTATCTCCTTCTACTTTGCTCTAGTTTCTCGCATTGGATTGAATATTTTTGTCATACACAACTATTTTTTTTATATCCCCTAATTCTTAATCTTATTCTTTATTTTGACAGGGAACAAATTTGTCGGGTTGCAAATCAAAAGAAATGTGATACATTAGGTTTAGCTGAATTAGGTACAATGTGCAAGCCAAATTCTTGTGCTATTGTTCAAGATAATGGCTTGTCTGCCGCCTTTACAATCGCTCATGAATTAGGACATGTGTAAGTATCAAAATATACGAATATGGGGTTGTTTGGAGGTGATGTCGCTTAAAGTTGATGGGATTTGGGGTCTGAAACTTTTGTATCATTGGTTTCTTGTGTGTAGCCATGTAGGAATAACAGTAAGCTAGGATTGTTGCAAGTGAAAGTGTTCAAACCTCCAACCTACTCAGACTTCTCATCAATCTTAGACATCATCAACAAACGCCCCCCAAACTTCCATTCAATGCTCAACAAACTTAAGCACAGTCTCGATTTCGATTCTAATTCATCACAAAAACTCATTAAAGCTTATTAGGTCATTGGTAACGCACCGTTCAGTGTGATTGTGTATATTTTAGCTCATTTCATTGAGCTCTCATACCTTAAACAGTATTTTTGAATTTAAAATTCATAATCGTCACGGTATCCTTCTCAGCTAATAATGTAATTGAGACCACCAGCGACACGCTCAATTAGCACGTTAATTTAATCAGTCAATAAAGCGTCACGCACTTTGCAATCGACTTGGATAAAAAAAAATTTTCTCGTATCTGTCGATCATACCTTTTGTAATGTAATGAAGCTTATTACATATCGGACTGAACAAAATGGGATTTTTTTTTACATTATTGAGGTTCTGAAGCACGTTTACTTTATTGTTGGTTTGGGAAGGGGCTATTCAGTAATGATGTCTATCAATAAATTTGGATTTTTAGATCTTCTTAATAAAAAAAATTGATGTAAATTTGTTGGAAAAATCTCAAACCCCCTCAAATAAATAGTCGTCATTGATGAACGACCCACAAAAGTAAATAAAACTTATTTCTTCTCACTTATTCGAATGGATCAATTTACCATGCTCTTTTTGATGAATAAACGTTTGATTATCCGTTAATAATTTCATTAATTCAATCTTATAGCTCGTGTATAGTAAGCAGTAAGCCCTTTTTTATGTCTTCTTAAACGTATGTTGTTTTCCTTCTGATGATCATATGATATTTGTGTGAATAAATGATGTAAATAAATTGTAAATACTTAACATATGTGAGGAAAATATTAGCTTTTATGTTTAGTGGCAATAAAGTCATTTTTATGGCACGTATAACTGGAGAACATGAAATTTGAGACTTTAATTAAGAATTTTTTTTTTATTGAGCTTTTAAATATTTTGTAGACAAAATTCTATGTAATTTATACACCCACCTGTGATTGATTAAATGGTTGATTTTTAGTGCTTAAAAAATAACTTTTTGTGCAACCTTGAAAACTGGAAATCGATCAAATTTCTAGTTGGATTACGAATCTTTGATAAATGGAATTTTTTGGAGATTTTGTTGCTTTAAACAAACCAAGATGAATGAATTTTAAAATTCTGTTCGATTCAGATTTAAAATTTTCCGAGATGACTGAAATTTGATCTACTTATGAGTTAAAATTTGAATTATCCGTTAAATTCTTATTCTCAAACTTAACCGAGGTGATTGATGTTTTGACTGAATAATTCAAATTTGGAATTTCCGTTAAAATTCAATTGCAAAATCATACCGAGAAGATCAAATTTTAATTTTTTTTTGTCAAATTATGAATTTAAAAATTACCTTAATTTAAGCTTTTGAATTTTTCACCGAAATTCAAGACTTTCTTGATTTAAACACCTCTGGGATATTAAAACACATAAAAAAATCAAAATTTACACCACAATAAAGTTGTCAAACACCAATAAGACTCTAAATCATCTTCAACATCCAAAATAACGGATCTGATGAATTATGCCTCAAAAATCTTCAATAAAAATCACTTCAGAGCCCCCTGCAGTGTCTTGTCTCTTGACACTTTATCACAATTAACTACAATATTGATTTATTGACGAATAAAAAATTTTGATTTTTATAATTTTTGATCACATTTTGACGAGACTTCTGAAAAATCTAGATATAAAACTTTTCCATAAGTTGCTGACTGAGCTTTATGGCTTCAAACCTCAATAAATATCTTTCTCGCCTAGATTTTCAATGGTAATCAAGTCATAAAATGTATGAAAATTAAAATAAATTGAGTTTTTATGACATAAAATTTGTAATAGCTATGATGCGTAAAAACAAAACATATCAATTAAGAGCTGTGCTGAGTCGTCTGTCTATGCTTCAAAAAAAGAGCATCAGCATATTTATAATATTTTATGTACATCATCATCATCATTAATTTTGTTATTTATCCGAGGGGGGAACAACATGGTGGGGAAAATTTTCGATTTTTGATTTTTATCATTTTCTTACAAATTGAAATGTTTTTTTAAACATAGTGAAAAATTGATAACATTTTTCCCACCATGTTGTTACCCCCTTCACATTTATCATTCATAAAAAAATTAATAATTCTCAATTTTCATCTTCTATCATCTCAAAAACGCAAAATTATAGCTTGAACATGCCACATGATGATGACAAGAAATGTGAAAAATATCGAGGCAATGGAACTCATAAGCAAAACATCATGTCACGCATGTTAGATCATAACACTCATCCGTGGTCGTGGTCAAATTGCTCGCGACACTATGCCACCGAATTTTTAGAGTAAGTATCAAATATCATGAGAATAAAGTTATCTTTAATGCTAATAAATGGTTTATGAAGTAAATCACGTTGAACATGATTAATTAACTGATCATTGTATGGTCGCTCATTCATTACTTATAATGACCCTAAACTACTGCTGATACATGTGTGAATACATATGGTATTTACAATTTCATGGACATTTAGTAGATCATTTCATGCTTTGTTACGAAATTGAATTGAGCTGCGAAGATTAAGCCGTAGACACATTAGATCTATGGATTTAATTGTCTATTATTATTATAGTCATATACACCTCTGCCGCACCACAAAAACCACAAAATAAAACGATAATCATAATCGATTCTTCTACTTCTATTTTATTAATGTAGAATATGAAGAAAAATTTTTTTGTACATTGTAAGGCCTCGAATGACTATTCAAATACAATCTTCCAAATATTTACTCAATTGTTCGTCTATAGCATCACATTTGAAAGTGTAAAATAGGGAAATGAGACTATTAATATGTTGAAATTGTGTTTACAGAGAAATGTTTATCTTTATGCGGGGTCTATTTGGAAGACGAAAGTAGCAAAATACTGAATTTATTGCAGTGTTGCAAATGTAGATGTCTATACTAGATGAAGAATGTAGATTCTTCAATAGTTTTTGTCTAGCTAAGAAACTTTCTTCATAAAGATCGATTCTTCATGTAGAAAGAAAAAAACCATCTACATGTAGATTGTGTCTACATGTAGAATCTGTCTACATGTAGATTCGATGTAGATGTCTATAATTCTACATTTTTTCCAGGTCTACATCAGAGAAGAATGTAGAATCGTAGACATCTACATTAAATCTACATGTAGACAGATTCTACATGTAGACACAATCTACATGTAGATGGTTTTTTTCTTTCTACATGTAGAATCGATTTTATGAAGAAATTTCTGTCTAAGAATTTATCTGATCCAGACAAATGGCCAGAATGCAACACTGATTTATTGTGCCTTTTTTATTCGTTTTGAGGATGACAGTTATGAATTTTTAAACAAGGAATATAAAGTTTGAAATTTTATTTCTTGAACGTAAAATTTGGAAATTAAAATTATTTTCGAAACTTAAATCCAGTATTCGAAAGTGAAATTTAAAGTTCGAACAATTTCAAAGGTGAAATTTAACATTCGAACTTCAATTTCGAAAGTGAAATTTAACATTTAGACTTTAATTTCGAAAGTGAAATAAAACATTCGAAATTGATTTTAGAAAGTGAAATTTAACATTCGATCTTTAATTTCGAAAGTGAAATAAAACATTCAAATTTGATTTTAGAAAGTGAAATTTAAAATTCAAGCTTTAATTTCGAAAGTGAAATTTAATTTTCTAAAGTGAAATAAAACATTCAAATTTGCATTTAAAAAGTGAAATTTAACATTTAAACTTTAATTTCGAAATTAAATTTTAACATTCGAACTTTAATTTAAATGTATAATTTAACATTCCAAAATTTAATTTTGAAAGTGAAATAAAACATTCGAATTTGATTTTAGAAAGTGAAATTTAACATTCGATCTTTAATTTCGAAAGTGAAATAAAACATTCGAATTTGATTTTAGAAAGTAAAATTTAAGATTCAAGCTTTAATTTCGAAAGTGAAATTTAACTTTCGAAAGTGAAATAAAACATTCAAATTTGCATTTAAAAAGTGAAATTTAACATTTAAACTTTAATTTCGAAATTAAATTTTAACATTCGAACTTTAATTTGAATGTATAATTTAACATTTCAAAATTTAATTTCGAAAGTGAAATAAAACATTCGAATTTGATTTTAGAAAGTGAAATTTAACATTCGAACTTTAGTTTCGAAAGTGAAATTTAACATTCGAAATTCAATTTCGAAAGTGAAATTTAACATTCGAAAATTTATTATTCTGAAATCTTAATTCCGAAAAGAATATAAAAATTAAAAATCCATCCTTAAATACTCAAATCCCATCCATAAATCTTACCCTTTAAAATTTAAATCCTTTACCCAACAATCAAACCCCAAAAACTACCAATTTAATTTAAAAATGTTTACAAATAATAAAATTTAATTTAATGAATTCACATTGCAAGTTTTAATTGCTAGCGCCGTCAAAAAGACCTCACGCCTGAATAATTTTTGCGCCTTTTTTTCTCAAATAAATTTGTTCATAGGCAGTCACAACAAGTAGTCAAATATGATATAAAATTCACTCGTGTAAATAAAATGCCTGATAATCTACAATTGTTTAAATTTAACAAAGCGCCAGGCAAATTTATTAATTTGTTTCTGACTTAAAATATTATAAAAGAGTTGAGTTTTTTTGAGCTCATTTCGTATTCATGATTTTGAATGGCTACACTTCGTGCTCGGTAAATGCAATTGCATTAAATTTTCTTAGTAGCAATCTCAAATTATTTTTATTTCTTCTTATTTATTTTTTTTTGTACATTTAAAAGAGTAAAGGAAAAAAATAATCAATTGTACAATCCAATCAACAAGTTTACGTGTACATACTTATGTCCATGAAGTTCATTAATGATCAGAACGTGCCCTGAATAAATTACAAAACAATTATGACACACAATATGTATTCTGTACTGTAAAATAAAATTTAAATAAATATATGAGCCTTTGTACTGTTTGCAATTAAATGGCTAGTGATAAAAAGTATCTCGTTGACATCCATACCATTGCCATGTGGCGACATATGGTTCGAGTTGGGAAGACGTATGCTAAGATTCTGGGGGTGCATGGGTTCATCTGAGATCGGGAATTATTTTCAAAAAATTAATAAAATTGTTTTATGGTTGAAAATATTTTTTCTGTGGATTCATGGTTTTAATTGACAGGAAAGCTAGTCAAATCAAAAGATAGTAGAATCTGGGACGTCGAGTCATGTCTAAGCGAATCTGCCAGTTCCTTGATGAGTGTCTCGTAGTGCAATTGATTAATAACAGACTAAAAGTGCATAATTCTTGATATTAGGAGGACTAGGGTTCGATTCCTACTAGAATCCAGTCTCTAATTCATCACAATCAACCTTTATTGTCCGGCTCATTACTTGGTTTTCACTACGACTTCAGGAGTTACCTCCATCTCCAGTATTTTCAAAATTCTCACGACCGCAATAAATGCATATCCAAACCTATCTAAAATCCACACCAGAACACCCAAAAACAAAAGTCTTTGCCCCCGTTCAAAAAAATTATTCACAACTTCGCTAATTTCCTCGTCCATTAGTTATGCTGTTCTGTGGCACACGGACGACATAATGTATATTTATGACCACTTATTAATGAAGACGAGATGTGAACATTTACAAAAGAAAGTGCCCGAACAGCATTCTTTACTCATTTTTCGGTCGTTCTACTGCATTTTGAAGCACTGATGCTCATTATTGTTGCAATGTCAATGATATTAAATTATTTATTTTTTATTAAAACAGACGAAAAAATTATATGTATACCAAAAAAGTAATGAATGAAATGACTGTGTATAAAATAAATAAATGAATGAATGAATTTACTGTTTTGTCATCTTGATCAAACTTGATCAATGTCATGAAACTGGGAAAATAAATTGCTATAAAGACTATAACTGGAAGACAAAAAAGACATGCAAAAATATTTTATTAGAGATAAGGGGTCGGTAATTAATGATGTGTAGTCTAAATTGTGATTTTTGGATACCTTAGTTACTATAAACTATACATTAGACATCATTAATGAACGATCCCCATAAACAAACCATTTATTAAGCCATAACGAAACAGTAATAATCTTAACTCAATCATCAAATTTACAGCCGTGAACAAAGCTCCTGTTTATTGGATAAGCCACACCGTAATATGATTGAGAAATCAGGCAATACAATGTTAGCAGGTGAAAAGTTTACTGATGATCAGCAATGTGAGCTCGTGTTTGGCCATGGAGCAAGAATTTGCTCGTACATGCCTAAATGCAGTCGATTATGGTGTAGTCAAAACAATCAAGAAGATCATGGTTGTCGTACGCAACATATGCCATGGGCTGATGGAACAACGTGCGGTGAGAATCAATGGTGTCAAAAAGGTGAATGCGTGACTAGAAATCGATCGGCATTAGCACCCATTCATGGAGGGTGGGGAGAATGGAGCGAGTAAGTATTATGGGCTATTAGGTCATGACCGAGACAAGATGTAGAACTAGTAATCTAATTCCCATTCCTTTGTCTTCCTAATTTCCATATAAAAGGTTTGGTGATTGTTCGAGAACATGCGGTGGAGGCGTTCAATCGGCTGTCAGAAAATGTGACAATCCAACACCGGCAAACGGTGGAAAGTTTTGTGTTGGACAAAAAATTCAGCATCGATCGTGCAACACACAAGACTGTCCCGATGATAAGATTGATTTTCGTGCTGAACAATGCAGTCGCTTTGATAACAATAAATTTAATTTGGAGCTGCAACGAGACGCAAAATGGTTGCCAAAATACGGTCTCCCAGAAAAAGATGAATGCAAGCTATTCTGTCGATTGGAAGAGACATCATCATACTTTGAGCTCGCAAATCGAGTTGTTGATGGAACGCCATGTTCATACAATACATTTGATAAATGCATCAATGGCCTTTGTGTTCCGGCTGGATGTGACAATGAACTTTACTCAACTGCTGATGTGGATATGTGTGGCGTGTGCAAAGGCAAAAATGAGACATGTGAGAGCTATTATGGCAATTTGACGCATTATCAATTCCGCGAGAAGGCAAATTATCAAAGTAACTACTTTATATATTCAGTTGTGACAATTCCAAAAGGTGCTACAAACATAGAGATTCTTCAAGCTGGTCTTGAAGATGACCGTAATTATATTGCATTGCGAGACGATCAGGACAACTACATTCTCAACGATTTACATCATATTGAAGGGAATCATAAGAAGATTTATTATGGTGGCGTGACATTGGAATATAACGGTGGTAAAAGTTCATTTGAGCGCGTAAACTCAACCTACGCATTACAGTTGAAACGTGAATTAAAAATTGACATTTTATCGTTCACACCGCCTACAAGGATTGAAGATTATGTCATTAAATTCTCATATACGCGATCCGATACGGGAAAGAGTGTCTTAACAAATCAAATTACTAACAATTACAACAGTAATAATGATTATAATACAGTCAAGAAGCAGTATGGATGGCAAATGCAAGAATGGACTAATTGCAGTAATATTTGTCATGGCAAGCAAATTCGAAAGGCTTCATGCGTTGAATCCAACTCAAAAACGATTGTTAACGAGAATTATTGCCGGAGTACTGCAAAACCTTACGACGATTATCGTGAATGCAATACTGATTGTCGATTGGGATGGCAAGTTTATAAATCTGATTGTTCAGTCAATTGTGGCGATGGCAATCGAACAATAAAATATGAATGCGTTCAACGTTTCGACCGAAATGATCAGCAATATAAGATTGTCGATAGGAATCATTGTCCTCACCGGCCAGAAACAACAACATTTGAGCCGTGCTCACAGGCGTGCAATGAAGTTCTTTGGTTCTACGGTGAATGGAGTCCGGTGAGTTTTTGAATGGATTAATTGATTAATTATGTGACATGAGGGATGCATTAAGATTGGAATCTCTTTTTTTGGGATTAATTAGATACATGAGAAAATAATTTGTTTATTTTGTGAATGTTATCTTTTGGATCTTTCAGGAAATTTGTTTAATTGAAGATTTGTGTCTCACTTTTGGTGTTGTTAATGATTCTTATCTGAATTTTAATTGTTTTGAAGCTTTTATTCATGCTAATGAAGACAGTTTTGATTTTCGAAAGTCGAGAGTTTGTGTTGACAATCAAAATTGATGTTCAAATGAAAAGTTTAAGTGTGAATTATCGAAAGAAAAAAAAATCGAGTTCAAACTTTCGAAATTAGAATTTGAATTCAAACTTTTGAAATTAGAATTCGAGTTCGAACTTTCGAAAATAGAATTTGAGTTCGAACTTTCGAAATTAGAATTTGAATTCAAGCTTTCGAAAATAGAATTTGAATTCGAACTTTCGAAATTAGAATTCGAGTTCGAACTTTCGAAAATAGAATTTAATTTCAAATTCCAGAATAGAATTCAAGTTAAAATATTCGAGCTTAACCTTTAATTTTCGAAAATAGATCTTAAATTCAAATTTTCGAACATACTTTTCAACTACAAAAGAATCATGTGTTACAAAACCAATCAAAAAACCCCCAACAATCGCAAGAAATCGATTAAGTTGTTTTAAATTTTTGTAATTCTTCTTTTTATCCTCCATTCTTCTCTTTATCTCTTCCCCAAAACCAAAAAAAATTTACATGAACAGTGCTCGCGATCGTGTGGTGGAGGCAAGCAGAACCGAACTTCCATGTGCTTATCAGATCCGGTTCATCGTCGACAAGTTCATGAAAAGTATTGTAGTCACCTGCGTCGAGAAGAGCTAGTTCGATATTGCAATCAAGATGTCAGTTGTGCAGAGTGGGCGTACGGAGATTCTTCTCCCGTAAGTTCTTTTTTTATTAGCATTTAAATGAAAACCATAAATTTTATATGTCTTAGATTTTAAATTTTTTTTTTAATGAAAAACACAAAAAAAAACATTTTGTATATCAGTATTGATCTTGTCTTGGCTTCCAAAAACATATTAATTTAACATTTTGATTTGCATTTGAGAACAAATTTTTCCTTGTCTGATTTGGACAACTTTTTATTTGGTAGAAAATTTAAAAACTTTCAAAATTTTAGATTCAAAATCAATTTTTTTTTAAAATTTAAGTAAAAATTTCTTCTCACATTTTTTTTGATTGATTGGAATTGAAATTTTTTCTATTACTGATTGGCTTAAACTCTATAAGACATATATACATACATACATATATATATCCTTTAGATGTCCATTGTCGATTTACATGCTCATTTATTAATTTTTATTAATATTAATTTTTATTTAACGACTATGTATCATAATCATTTGTGTTCCTGTCTAGTGTTCCGTTACATGTGGAATAGGTCAGCAAACGACCGTAATTTATTGCAAACAAAATAATGAAATTGTAAATCCTTCGCTCTGTTCAAGTCCACAACCTAAAGAAATCATTAAACAATGCATTATGCCGAAATGTGATTCTGTAAGTAGATAATGAAAAAAAAAATTTGAATTTTGTTTATTTTTTTATCTTTTGCAATATTTCATAAGAGAGAAATTATTAAGTATGAAGGTCATCCTTGACACGAGACATCAACTTGGGTGACTAGAGCGCATTTTTGCATCTGTTTTGGATTATATAGATTTAAAGATTTTCTATATTTTTCACTTTCGAAAATAATTTTTCACTTTCGAAAATAAATTTTTCACTTTCGAAAATAAATTTTTCACTTTCGAAATAAATTTTTCACTTTCGAAAATAAATTTTTCACTTTCGGAAATGAATTTTTTCAATTTCGAAAATAAGTTTTTCTGAAAAACTTTTTCACATTAGAAACTTAAGTTTGTACTTTCGTAATTAAGTTTTCACTTTCGAAAAATTATTTTTTAAGTTCGAAAATTAAATTTCAAGAAAAATCAATTAAAGCATCACAAAATGCTCTTATATCCTCCAACTACCATGCAAAAGTGCGCTGATAAAAAAAGTTAAGACCAAAAACAGAAAACTAAATTTATTTTAGAAGGTAAATTCATTGATTGGCTTTCATTATAATACGTGTATAATTTATTTATTAATTCTTATCTTTATCTATCCGCTGTCTTATTAGTTTTTTCTTAATTCATTACAACATTCATTCATTTTTTTCATTCATTACATTCTCTCGTTTCTGTCTCTTACTCATTTCGCATTTAATGAAAATTAAGAAGTAAAAAGTAAGGAAAGATTGAAGGATTAAAGCGCATTTTTTAAAAGGAATGAATAGATTGTTATAAAAGTTGGTGGCTGGGTTCCCATGTCATGTTCAAATAGTATTCAAACTAGCCTTCACTTACAGGCAATCGTATATCCCCAATCAAAACCACTTAAGCAACTCCCAGCAACCAGTTCTGATTTTTGATGCAACTCAAAAGTCTTAATTCTTAATGGCAAAATATCAATCACTTTAAACTTGAGTAAAATGCAATTAATTCGCATCCGAATTGAACTTGAAAGTAGAATCAATCTTAATAACTTTTTGATGGAGAAATCAATTTTTTCGTGCAATTTTCGATAAATGCTTCAAGTGCCCGCATCGCTTGAGAATATGATAATGAGAATTGACTTTCAATATGATGAATTTTCTGAGTGTACACGTGGGTCATACTTGAGTTTGGAGATGAAATTTTCTGCTGTGATTCATTCTTAATAAACTGTGAGAAATTTGATATTTATTGAATCGTAATTCAAGGGATTCATGTCCTCATTAAATAAGAATCTCAATGGATTGAGGAATTTAGGAAATTGAGTCATATGAAGACGAATCTGTCAATGCTAGAGCAAGGCATCTCTGTCCGTTTGGTTAGGTTACAGACCTAACATCTCATTTGAATGGATATGAGTTCGATTCTCACCAGAATCTGATCTCTCAATAATACTAATAATTCATTTACATCTTGACTCCATAAAGTCGCTTTGCCGACATTAAAATCAAAGCACCCGCCTGAGATAGTTCTTACCATAAAACCAAATTCATTTAATTCTATACAAAAATACCCAAATCGATGCCAAATGTCCAAACATTATCCACCAAAAACTACGCTCATAACTTGACTTCTTATTACTTTCATATTTTATTTATCTTAATTTTATCTTTTCATCATACATTTTATAAGCATTTCTTCTCGATCATTTATCGTAACGCAATATGTTTTATGAGATGAACTTTAATGTTACTTAATTTTGTTTTATGTTTTTCAATCTTTTCTTTCCTCTTTCCTACTCGTTTCCTTCTTTCTTTCTCATTTTTTTGATTAATTAAATTGCTTTTATGCTTTTAATAATAATAAACAAACATACATATGACTTAAGAAAAAGAATACACATTAGGATGTACAGAAGAAATTAAGATAAACATGAGACGAGAAGAAAAAGTCTTATCGACATTGAAATGGAAGTTTGACAGTCAATTTGATGTTTGATTGGCTGATGACGCAGTTAATAGAGTGGGAAATGGTCTTTGAGTAGCTTTTGAGGTTTGTAGGTCAAGTGATTGGGAGGATTTGATCAACATTTAGCAATAATGACAAAACTTAGCAAAACTTAACAACAATATGAAAAATCAAGCTACAATGACCATAATCTGAGCAACAATGACTAAAACCGAGCAACAATGATTTACACTGAGCAACAATGACTCAAACTGAGCAACATTGACTAAAGTTTAGAAACAATGACTAAAACTGAGCAACAAAGACTGAAACTGATCAAAATTGGCTTAAACTGAGCAACATTCACTAAAACTGAACAATAAAGAATGAAAACTGAGCAACAATGACTCAAACTAAGCAACATTGACTAAAGCTTAGAAACAATGACTAAAACTGAGCAACAAAGACTGAAACTGATCAAAATTGGCTTAAACTGAGCATCAATAATTAAAACTGAGCACTAATGACTCCAACTGACCAAGAAAGACTAATATTGAGAAACATTGACTAAGAACTAAGCAATAATGAATGAAAACTGAGCAACAATGACTAAATCTGAACTATAATGACTGAAAACTATACAACAAAGGTTAAAAACTTTGACTATCTTACAGACAAAATTCAATATGCGAAGAAAATTTCCCACTCGAGAAACACGCGTTAAAAAAAGCTTTAATTGATAATTGACTTTTCTTCTCGTCCATAATAGAAATTTAATTCCACAATTTATGTTTACACATCTCTTTTGCAATTTCTATTTTCGTTCTCTGCAATGTTGAATTTATAAACAAACAAAATCAACAATCTAGGTTCAGAAAACGTCTATAGTAGATGTTTCAGCAGCACGAAATCGATTTAATTCAAAAATAAATGACCCTACAACAACAGTATTTAATTTAAACAATGTTAATTACATTGAGACTACGACAACAATGATTGCAAAATATGAATGGAGAACGGGTCGATGGGGCGAGTGTTCAGTGTCTTGTGGAGAGAAGGGTGGAAGGAAAATTAGAACAGTTAAATGTACAGATCCGCAGTCGAATTTCGATATCATTGAAGATCATCTCTGTGATCAGATGCAAAAGCCTGTTAATGTTACGAATTGTAATGAGTTTAGGTGTCCTCAGTGGAATTGGGGAAAATGGGGAAAGGTATGTTGACTAGTATCGCATAATTGTCTACACTATACACATACACAGATACACAGAAACAATTTTAATGTAGATTAGAAGACTATTCAGGAAGGAAATTTGATGTGTAAAAATTGGATTTTCAAAAACCGTTGCATTTTAAATTTGATGTTAAAATTTGAAATTTGAACGTTTTCATAACCGTTAAAGTTTGAATTTTCAATAACTGTTAAAATTTGAAATTTTAATAACCGTTAAATTTTGAATTTTCAATAACCGTTAAAATTATATTTGCAATGACCTTTAAAATTTGAATTATTATTAACCGTTAAATTTGAATTTTCAATAAACGTTAAAGTTTGAATTTTCAATAACCGTTAAAATTTGAATTTTCAATAACCTTTAAAATTTGAATTCTTAATAACCGTTAAAGTTTGAATTTTCAATAAACGTTGTAGTTTGAATTTTTCATAACCGTTAAATTTTGATCAATACTCAAACAAGGTCTGAAAACCTCCTGCATCACATCACACTTCCTTCCCCAAACCAAAAACAAAAACAAAATCTATAAAAAAAATCATTAATTAATTCTAAATGTATTTTTATCATTATCATTATCATCCATATCACTATTTAGTGTACTAACGAGTGTAAGCGCGAACGTCAAGTTGTTTGTCAAGATCATCGTGGCAATATTTTGAAAGATCAATGTCCTCTCGAAATGGAACCTCATAAGTCTGAAGCATGTTGTCACTTTAGATGGAGAGCTATATGGAAACCAGTATGCATTACAACTTTTTAAAATCCTTGAAAGCTACAGCACCAAAATGTATGATTCCATCCATGTCACACGACATAATGAAACATTTTTTATGTCTTATTTGTATAATGGAATTTTTTTACTGTTCCATAAAAAGATGGACATTAGAGTTGAAGGATGATGCGAGTAGCTTTCAAGTATTTTATGATGAGCTAGGCATTTAAATGGTTCACATTCTAATATTCTAACTTTCTTCTTGCCAAATGTTATCAAAACAGTGTTCAGCCACTTGTGGAACAGGTTATCGAACAAAGGAAGCTGTTTGCATGCGTCTATATCCGAAATCATTGGACAATCCACATCCAATTAAAAATGGTACACGCGTCGATCCTAAATATTGTGCGCATATGGATAAGCCAGCATATGAGAAGTCGAAGAAAGTTTGTAAGAATAAACAGCCATGCATTCATGCATTTAGATGGGTGATTGGCCCGTGGCTTAAGGTGAGTTTTACAAACTGCTGTTGCTGCCCATGATTGTATGCATGACTGTACATATTTATATAAAAAAAACACATATATTTTATTATTATTGACCTTTATGATATGCAAAGCGTGATGATTTACAATATCTCAATTTATGCTTCTTTATAAGACCCCATAACGACCTCATGAGTTGAGATGATGGTTAATAAGAAGGAGAAGAAAGACATCAAAGATGACGATTCATCTCTTTTGCAATAAAAAAAAAAACATCTTCCTCATATTAATAAAGTTTCTTCTTTCAATTTTCCATTCACAGTGCTCTAGTGGATGCGGCTCAGGTTATACAACGAGAAACGTTACGTGCACAAACGGACATATCGAATCGCCGAATGAATGTACCGAACAGCGTCCTATTAAATACAAACAATGCGAAAATAAAAACCATTGCCGATGGCGTTACGGAAAGTGGAAAAATTGCACTTGTGCTGGCTATCAGAAGAGACGAATTACATGTTGGGATGGATATAAGAATAAAGCAGCTACCAATTGTCCCGATGAAGATAAACCAATTTCAAGACAGCGATGTAATGCACCGCCAAATTGTAAGTTTATGAAGTGATGATTGATTGTAGATAAAGTTGTCGGGAGGTGGATTTTTGAGGTGGCACTCAACTTTCATCTGATCCTAGCTCTACCTCAAAGGAGCATATCAAGGAGGGTCTTGTCTCCCCCTTAAGCGTTTTAGGCCGTGCTCACACTGTAGTGGGGAGGGGGGAGATCCTCCTGGCTACGCGCCTGCTACCTCAGGATACTAGTTTCTATCCTTAAGACTGTAAACATGCCAAAAATTGCTATTTCCAACCTCTTTTATTGCCATACTTAATATAATTAATTAAACAAAATATTTCTTTTATTATCTCAATTCAAACCATCAAACAACACAAAATGATTTAGGTTCATGCAAGAGCATCCAACACTACAAGCGAACGAGAACGGATGGCGAATATAAAATCAATATTCGAGGGCGTGAAGTGGAAATTTATTGTCATAGTATGAATTCAGAGAGTCCATCAGAATATATAACATTACGGAAAGGAAATCAGGAAAACTATTCATTATTCTACAGTAAGCGTACGACTGATATGTCGAAATGCGAAAATGGGAAGGGCGTTCATGACGAGTCTATTCATTATGGCACAACGAGATTTAATAAAGTTCGTATCAACATCAACACACTTCAAATAATTGACGATGATTATCAATTTTCGCATACCGTTGGACGACAGCAGAAATATGCAACGGGTGGTGATTGTTATAGTAATTCTGGCTCGTGTCCGCAAGGTGATTTCTTTGTTAACTTGGAAGGCACTGGCTTCAGAATACGACCGAACATGATGTGGGAAGCGAATGGAACAAATTCAACAATAGAATATCAAATTAGGGTAATTTGTGCTTGTCATAGGCAAGATTATGAGGCGTAGACACTTAATTGTTGGTTATTAATTGATGACTTATGGGTTGATCAGATGTTTAATTGGCTCAGGGATCGTCAATTTATGCTTTTGATGTTTAATGATGAGTTTCTTATAAGATTTGCCTGTCAGGATCTGTTTTGTTTACTTTCAAGACTAGGTATTTGATTTAAGCTCTAAAAATGATCAAATGTTGGTTTAATCTGTATTCACTGTGTATATTGTCCAATAGTAGCTTTGTCAAGATCCCTAAAGTTGTAGCGGTAAAAGTGAACTTTTGGGGGGGGGGGGGGGGGGGGGGGGGGCAATAGATTAAAAAAAATTTGATTGTTTTTTTTGAGTTTAAAATGCTGTAAATGAGTAGAAAATAGTAAAATTAAAGTAAAAATAGTCAATTTGAGTGATTTTAAGTGAAATTTGACAAAAAAAATTTTGCAAATTTTTCAATATTTTAAGTTTAAGTATTTTTTTGCATTTTTTTATGTTTTGAATGCAGAAATACTTTCAGTATTTTCGGACATTTTGTCTATTTTGTCTACTATTTTAAATGTAATTTTATAATTTTCTACTCATTTTCATACTTTTTAGTTTAAAAAAATAATAAAATAAAATTTCATATATTGACCCCCCCCCCCCCTAAAGTCCACTTCAGCCGTTGTAGCTTATTGATTATTTTGAGATTTTTGATTTTATTTTGATTGAGAATGCGCTTTTAGAAAAATTCAATAAAAGCTCCAGAACCTTACAATTTAATTTATATGGGTTTCAAAATTCAAAAATTAAACAACCGTTAAAACTCAAAAAGTACTAATGTTATGATTTATATAGATTATTTCGACTATTTTTGATCATAAAGGTAATACAGAACTAGTCATTCATATCTAAACAACCTTTAGTCACGAAAAAAACAGCCTCCAACAATGTCTAAGCCTTGAACTTCACCAAATCGTTTCCTAATCGCTGTTCTATTGTTTATTTTTTCTATCCCATTTTTTTAATTCACAGCTCGAAAAGCCATATCACAAAGTCAGAGCACGATGCGGAGGCTATTGCGGGACATGTCGACCAACGCACCGAGGCATCTACTTAGACGTACTATGAAGTAATTAAAAAAAATAATTTAATTGAGATAATTATGAAGTCAGTACTTGAAGTGAAAATGTTGTTAAGATTTTTTTTATTATTATTATGTATTTAAAAAACACACAACATGGATTATTTGATTTTCGCATGACCGAGATGATGAATAGTCAAGCTAGAGACAGAGGAGATAAAATAATTTCGTTAAGAAAGATTAAAAAAATTTCCTTTTTTTGTAAGAATATTTTTTGGGAGAATAAGGGCAACCACAAACGTATATCTTAAGCATTTTCAATTGTGCCTTAAATAATTGAAAAATGATCTCTACCAAAAAAAAAATAATTTCAATAACAAAATAATGCAAATGACAAGTTGTTCCGTTTTATCGAGCAACTGATGTTATTAAAATTTAATAAAATAACAAATTAAAAATTGAAGAAAAAAAACTGTAAAATGTAAAATTTGTAAAACTGTAGAAAAATAATAATAATAAACAAAAAAATTGAAAAAAATGCACGTATGACGTTGGACCATCGACTCCATTTTCGTCTGTGGGGTTTTTGAAGTTCCCATTCAGTTGAGGATTCTTTCCCTGATTTTTTTTTTTTACTTTTAATAACATTATTCAGACATAAGTCTACTTAAATTAATATAAATTACTGTGAATCTTAGTAAGATATACCATTATACAATAGAGAAATTCGTGATTCCTAGTCATTTCCAAGCAGCATCAAATTTAATGGCCATCCGAGTTCCATCAAGTGACAAATTTTTATTTTCCATCTATGTTTAAAATTTTTGAATTTCATTTATTTTAATAGCTGTATTGATAGTTTAATTGTGTGAAGAATTGAGGGGTTTTGAGGTTATATTGGAGGTTAAGTGAGGGATTGAGTGGCTTTATGGTTTTAAGGGTATCGGTTTCTTGGGGTTTGTTAAGCCATTCTTGAGATTATGGCTAGATTACACCTTAATCATGCTAAAAAGTGTGGCTAGATTTAACCTTAGTCAGTCTAGAGAAAGTGGCTGGTGAATCCTTGAGGTACAAGACAAGCCCGAATAGCACAAGTCGGTTAATCGAATAGAAATCTGGTGCCAAGCCGGAATGACTCTGGCATGGTGCTGGATTTAAATCCAGTAACACTGGTTTGGTGTCAGATTTCAGATCGATTAACCGACTTGTGCCTTTCGGGAAGATGCAACCATGAAACCAAAAGAGAAAGCTACTGACATCCTAGTGGAGGTTCTGAACAGTGATCATTCTATTAACATCCTTAACCACTCCTTTTTAGCCCCCCAACTGCCTATCCTCCCAAAAACCTCCAATCCCGATCATCTCCGAACAAATCCTCTCAATACCCAAACATCTTCCCATGTGCGTGCCTCAAAACAAAGCTAATCTCCGATACAATCACCAAGAATAAATAAAATCAATTAAAGAGAATTCCGGTTACTGGGTCAGTATACATTGCAGCTATTTTCGTGATGAAATCGTTTTGAGAATTGAAAAAAAAACATTGTTGATGAAATTTCAAAATAAAAATTTCAAGGAACTCTCGAAAACCCCTCAAAAAATTGCCATGATATTAAGAATTACTTACTTGGTCCATTATGATTTATAATAAAAATAAAAAATTAAAAAATTGCACTCAAGTATACAGCAAGCAGCTATTCTGAGCTTGTTAAAGATAACATTGTGTAGCTCGCAATCAAAAAAAAATTAATAAAAAGAATCAAAATTCAAGTGTTCATAGTCGTCCATTCAGAATTGTAAGTAGGGAAATTTGAGAAACGATCATCGAAATATTTAAAATTGAAAAAATATACTGCCGAGATACTCAAAATATGAAATAAAGTCTATTTTTTTTTCTAACGCACCTTCATCTCTTGCACATCTCCAGTAAAACCATCTAAACTAATTAATTTTTATAACTATACACTTGAAAAGAAAGTAAAGAGTGGAAGTAGAATATGTAAGAGTGATAATTATCAACGCACGTACATACTTTAAAGATTTTTGTGAAACAAATGAAATGAAATTTTATGAAAAAAGTATGAAGTAACTTAAAGGTTGGTGTTTTGGTTTTTGAGGTGGATTTGAGGGTTTCTGAGAAAGTGAAAAAATTGTTACAAAACAGCAGAAACTAGTTCGAATTAGGATTCGAACCCATTGACTAGATTAAATAATGACTTTAGTCACATTGCTCATTTTAAACAATAGGTAAATTTTTGGATATTATTCGATATTTTGGCAAAGGCATGTTGAATGTTATTCCTATATGAATCTTTCAAAGGAAGGTTTGAAGAAGCTTTGAGCTTTATTTGTGCTGTATGTGATTTTAAAAATGCTATGTTGTGTCCTGAACAACATGGCATGTTCAAAGAATGGTTGCGGAACTGATGATTTTGGGTCAATTTTGATCAGTTTTGATCTTTTTTGATCATTTGTAATCATTTTTGATCTTTTTTTTGATAATTTTCGATAATTTTTTTGGTCATGTTTGATCATTTTTGATCAGTTTTGATCATTTTAGGGTCAATTTTGATATTTTCATTTTTAATCATTTTTGATCTTTTTTGGTCATTTTTAATCATTTTTGATCAATTCTCATCATTTTTGATAAATTTGATCATTTCATCAGTTTTGCACCCTTTATCTTGAACTTACTGTTGATATCCAGTCATTACTAATGGAACCAAATGCGAATGTTCACTATAACTACAGAATCAAGCCATTTCAGTTTAAAGTAAATTATCATCAGAAATAATAAAATCAAAGTCAAACAAAATGTTTCTTATCATATGATTTCGAAGCTGGTTCGAATCCTAATCAAAATTAATTTATCCATATTCGGTCGAAATAATTTTTGCAAATTTTGTTTTTTTTTCCAACATTTGCGAAATCATAAACGATCGTCCTTAAAAACTCAAAAACTCATCAGCTTTAAAAAAATCGCCGAATGAATAAAACTAGACTCAATTCCATTTGCATAAGATTTCAAACTTTCTATCAATATTTTTTTTTTCATTCTTTTGTAAGAAAATTAACTTTATTGCTTTGACAGCATTAATATAAATAATTTCAAAAATAAATAAAAAATAAATCAAAGTTAATAAAAAATATATTCACAAAAGTTGAAAATTTTGTGTGAATATGAAATCTCAAAAAAATTAAATTAAAATTTTTTTATTAATAAAAAAGTACAAAAACCAATTTTTAGATTGATAAAATGAGAAAAAAAAATTGCGGCAGCTTGAATGTTCACCATAAAAATAAAATAAATTGTCGAGAATTTTTAAATGTCAAAAAAAAAATTATTAAAAAACTAGAAATTGTGTTCAAAGATGCTCGATAATAATTCATTATAATAAATATTTAAAAAAAAATGTATGTGACGCTTAGCAGTGAATTAGGCACAACACAATAAAGAATAATTTCGCTTATTTATTGAATTAAAATAATAAAGATCTTCAGCAGGCATCACAAAAATGGAAGAGTAGCTACAATGACATAATAAGCGGCACAGTCAGTTGCTTTCTCATTTCTGTTGACTAATATTTCGTCCATATGCTGAAGAATCAATCTCTTAATAATGAAAATAATAATTTTATATTAATTAATTTAAAATAAAAACCAAAAGCTGCATTTGCAAACAAAAATAATAAAAAAATTTGAAAGTTTAATTATTAATTAAATAATGATGATGTATATGTTTCAAACCACACACACACACACACACACACTTTGTATGATAGTCTTGTGCCTTTTTAATAAATTATTTTTTATCAGAAAAAGTATAAAGAAAAAAAAATCCATAAAATAATACAATGCGTCTTTTAATTATGATTTACAGCACATTCGCCATTTACAGCATATGATTTTAATGAATGTTTCGTAACCTTTATTAGGGTTGTTCATCAGTGAGGTTCATCAATAATTTGATTTTCAGAAGATTCTTTGCTTTGCTGTCGCTAAGTTTTGTAGGAATAGAATTTATGAGGAGTCACAAAGCACTTTGGGTAAGGTCCCTTAAGATTCATCTAAAGCATGACTTCTTACTTCGATGACCTTACAAATCAATTGTGATCCATGGCCTCTCTAAGGTGCCGCCTAAAACTGGCTCTATCGCTTTCTACTGCTTGCCAATTTCCTATACCAATTGCAATACTGTCTCTATCGACAGCCTCTTTCCATGAGTTCTTTGGTCTTTTACGTGCTCTTTTTCCATCCACAAAGTCAGTCTTAAAGACCTTACTTAATGAAGATCATGACTAGATGCATTCCATAAAGCAATCTCAGGACTCGTCTTGACCAACTCAAGTCTAATTTGCAGTCAGAACCAAATACAGGTTCTAGATGGTTTCAGAACTACCTAAAACCCACTCACTCTACGAAAACATATCACCCATCATTGATAAACAGTCCCTTTAGAGATCCCACACGGACAGCTTTTGAATCAGCCGCTTATGTAGCTCTTGCAAAAAAAAAATCACTGCCAAAACGGCTCATATTCTCATCTATTTATGGAAATAAGGTAGTTTGGCACCAACATTTTCAATATTCTCAAGATTTTTATGATATATAGCCAAAATTGTCTTTAATACCTCCAATTCGCATGATAAATATGCTAAATTCAATAGATTCTTATAATGTTGTCCATTTGTATGCAAATGTCTGCTAAATAGCATCAAATGTCACTGATAAGAGATGAAAAATTGGCAGTATCGCGGATTTGTCGGATCTATGAATTTTCAGAAGACTTTTTGGAGATTTATGGCTGGAGTAAGGCTTTTTGATGTTCGTTTAAGGTTAGGATTTATTGTCGGTTTGAGTTTCGTTTAGTTTTTGGATATACAGCTGTGAATTATTACTAAAATTTCCATCACAAAGTTGTCTAGCATCGAAACTAAGCTTCAATCGACACTTTATATCCCCCAAAATCAGCGAAACAAAAGTGCATAATTTCATGCAATTTATATTCCTTTTCAGGCTTGAAAGGAGAAGTAAGAAAAGAAGATGGAAAGAGAATTGCATTTGATAATGATGCAAGACTAATTCGAAGTTGATAAATGATGCTTAATGACATTTTGATTTCGCTTCCCTAACAGACAAAGAGCACGCTCTGAACATGCTTTTTAAAAATCAATTATTTAATTTGATGACGCTAAATTAGCGTACTCTCCCATATAAATGGAGATCGCAGTACGGTACCATAAAAATCACGCTCTCAAGAGTACGCTTTTTTTACTTGCAAGTTTTCATGCAAGTTGAACTTGAGAGCATGATCAAGAGCATGTTCTGCTGATCATGTTTTAAAGATCATGTTTACAAAAACATACTTAAGCGATTATGCTTCTGAGCATATTTTAAAGATCATAGTAATTGGAGTACACTCTAAAGCATACTCTAATGAATATATTACTAAGCATGATCTAAAGATCATGTTTACAAAACATACTTAAGCGATTATGCTTCTGAGCGTATTTTAAAGATCATAGTAATAGGAGTACACTCTAAAGCAAACTCTAATAAATATATTACTAAGCGTGATCTAAAGTTCACGTTTACAAAAACATACTTAAGCGATTATGCTTCTGAGCGTATTTTAAAGATATATTAATTCATATCAAATGATTCAAATTCAAATCCTGAAATAAATGACAAAAAATGAAAAAAATATTAATATTTCATAAATTTAAAATGTTCTTTATTATTTTCTCTGATTTATTCTTTCAATAAAACTACTTTTAACAGTTTTCTACATTTAATTCTTTTTCGAATTCTTAAGGATAGCTTTCATGTCACGCTTAATCTTGTTATTAAGGATGTTTTTAATAAAGTCTCCCAAAGTTTTTGTGGGATTTCCATCATCGAGATTAAGGACATCTTTCAACATTTCCAAAAATATTCCATGGACTTTCAGATACAGCTTTTTGTCTCCTGCAGCATCCTCCTTTACACATAATTTTCCCCATAAAACCGAATCGTTCAAAAACTGTAGATCAAAGATTGATAATAAAATGGCATGAAGCTTTCCATTGCCAAACTTTGTCATGCCTTCAGTTCCCGGCATTTTTTTCCAATAACGAACCTGTTTAAAGTAAAGAATAAATTAATACATTACTTAATGAATATTTGTATATAACTAGAAACTTACGAGATTTTCCTTATATTCCTGTGATTCGGTGGCTTTTATTAAGAACATATTGAAGTCCTCGATCGATGCAATTTTCTTTTCAATGGGATTGGTTCTGCTCTTTTTATTACCATCATTTGTTGGAGAGTCTTCATTCTTACGTTTCAATTGGCCATTCATTGATTTCAAAATTATCTTCAAATCGTCAACAGTCACCGCACCTTCAATAAGCTGATCGATTCGCTCACTTGAATTTTCCTCAACCACAGTTTCCTCAGCCACAGTTTCCTCAGCCACAGTTTCCTCAGCCACAGTTTCCTCAATCACAGACATTGCATTTTGTACTTGCTTTGATGCATCTCCATCGGTTTGATCTCGAACAGTCTAAAAGAAAATTTGAATTTAGTAGTATGATTAACAAATGAAAAAGTTGTAGATCTTAATTACATTCTCTAAATCTTGAAGCAGTGGGTCCTTGCGTACTTTGATACGCTTCTTACTTTCATCATCAGAAGCAGAAAGTTCCTTCTGGTGACATCGAGCCTGAATCATAGTTTCTAAATTGAGGATAAATTCATAAAAAATTATTAAATGTTATTAAAAATAACAAAATTTTAAAAACATACCATGAGAACATTCTATAATCACTGGCTTGGAGTCCCAAAGAATGATATTTTCCTTCGGAATGTTCTTTGATACAAGGGATGAAGCATTTTTTTTGGATAGTACACCTCATAGCGCGACTCATTGAACTGTTCTTTTATCCATGTTGTGTGAACAACCATCATCAAGCCATCATCAAAGCTTGCGCACAAGAATGGCCTATTCTGCACGACTTGATCACTTTTCTTTTTAGAATTTTTTCCAGCCATTATTTTAGATGTTTACTCTTTGAGGTATGAAATGCGAATGAAGAAAAATTAAGTGAAACTTTTCTTTTATACTAAAAAATATTCGACCGAAATAAAATTTTATTCTTGACATACAAAATCGAATGTCAAGTCTTGTTAAATGATGAAATTTTATGCTTGGCATACAAAATCGAATGTCAAGTCTCATAAAATGATAAAATTTTAACAGTTGACATACAAAATCGAATGTCAAGTCTCAAAAAATGATGAAATTTTATGCTTGACATACAAAATCGAATGTCAAGTCTCATAAAATGATGAAATTTTAACAGTTGACATACAAAATCGAATGTCAAGTCTCAAAAAATGATAAAATTTTAACAGTTGACATACAAAATCGAATGTCAAGTCTCATAAAATGATGAAATTTTAACAGTTGACATACAAAATCGAATGTCAAGTCTCAAAAAATGATAAAAATTTATGCTTGACATACAAAATCGAATGTCAAGTCTCAAAAAATGATAAAATTTTAACAGTTGACAT